CTATATAGCATGTCTAACCCTAACCTCTAAACGCTGTCTTTACTTTAATATTAAAAAAAATTAATTTTTAATTATTTGTTACACAAAATTTAGGTGCACAAAATGCACAGGTGCACTGTCTAGATTTATCCTTATTTTATTATTAATCATTGATTTATTAAATATGTAATTTTTATATAATCATGGAGTTAAAGATGAAGCATAAAAAGTTTTTAGCATTTTTATATACAGTATTTTTGCCACTGTAAGAAAAAATCTGTAAATTAACTAATGAATTTTTACCTTATTAGACTCGGCACTAACAAATCTTCCTATAAAAAATCGAAAATCATACACCGATTTTTCCCTCCAGAGAATGCACAGTTTTCATTATACTAATTCTTGATTATTTTCGTAAAATGCTGATAACTCCTGAGTAAAACTAAATCCTGGTAATTTCAGCTTCTAATTTTAATACTCATTTGGCCGATCCATATTTCTTTAAAGGTAGATTGTTTTTTATCGCAGTAATTGCTTGTTTATAAGCACTATTATTGCATGCCACATCAACATATACGTACATACGTATGAATTAAGCTGATTGGATTCCGTATATTGTTATACAATTAGGATAGCTGCGCGACGCGTGACGCCGCGCAGAACCAGTACGATCATGTATAACATGTAAATTCGGACTATTCGAAAGTTATTGATAAAGGATTTTAATACACATTAAACAAACAAAACTTAGAAATATAACGTAATTATGATAAATGCTATATGCCCGAATATTATCTTTTAGGTAATGGCACAGCACAAATTCCTTAAAGTTCGTTCATTTTAGTGTTAGGGTTAGTGTTATGGGCTAGAGAAGGGTAGTTTGCATAGTAAAATTTCCCAACGAAAACCTTTTTGTTAGAATACCAAAAGTGATTTCTTATGTAGAATTACGAGAAGTAAGCGAAACGAACATTTGTTTTGAATTTTCTTGATAGTGTTATGTTGCAACTGATCTTGAAATCTAATTCGTAGTTCAGGAAATCTGCGCACACATTCAAGGGGGTGTACCGGAAAATTCAAAACGAACGGCACCTTTCGTCAAAAAGCACTTTTTACTTGAAGAATTACATATATAACTACACTTCGTACACTAATTAAAATTTTTCCTTGAGCAATTTTACTGTACCTCTCTAATCTCTAGTATTAATAAGAGTCTTGACCCTAACACTAAGATGAACGAACTTTAAAGAATTTTGACTGTGCCACAAACCTGGCACACATTCAAGAAATGCCCTGATTTTGAAATCTGATTCGTAGCTCAGGCAATCGGCGCCACAAACCTGGCAAACACGTTGAAAATTACAAATGATGACGAAATTAATTATGACGATAAAATTAAATCATTATGACCACGGTGCTTACCTTAAATGACTGTTGCCTCATATGATTATCTTAAATAAGCAAAACACGATAACCATAACACTTTCTAAAATAAGAAAAAATATAGCGCACCAAAAAGTTGAACGGAACCATCCCTCCATATTTCATATGATCGTACTGGTACATACGTATATACGTACGTACGTATATTGTGTTCGGTTATAAATGCTAGTATGCACGTACAATAACAAGGTCACTACAATAATTCTATCGGCTATGCTTCTGCGGAATTTATTACAAAAGAACTGAGAGAATTTTAACACAATGGAAGATTTCGAATTGCCAACTCCATTCAATGATATTGTATTACCGAATGCATGGGGGATTGAAAATAAATCGCCATTTATTAACATAGATTCAAGTGGACTTAAAGTGAGTTATACAGGTAAATGAACATTGAAACAAATTAACATCTCAAATTGTTGAGTGTAAATCTTTGATAGTTCAACTAATTTATCAAAACTTCTAAAGGTCCTAATGATAATAAAGCTATTATAATTCGAGCAAATCATCCAATTCCTTTGGAGTGTGTGATATTTTACTTTGAAATTAAAATTATTAATAAAGGAAACAATGGGTATGTTTAATTATTTCATTTTCATTTTATAATATCACCTTTATTCTTACGATTTTTTTTCATTAGAATGATTGGAGTTGGATATTGTACAAAGCAAAACCATAAAGAAATAAGCGATGCAAATATAAAAACAAATTATATATATGACATGCTCATGCCAGGTAAGGATAGATTTTATTCCATTTTTTATTATTATAAATTAACATCAAATATCATACATAATATCCTTTAGGACAAAAATATAAGGAGAGTGAGGAAAATAGATCGTGGGGGTGTGGTTACCATGGTGACGATGGATATTCGTTTTGTTCTGGAAGTGGCGAGCCGTATGGACCAAAATATACTACTGGTGACATTATTGGATGCTATTTAAACGTCTTAAAGAAAATAGTATTTTATACTAAAAACGGAGTCATCCTAGGTAATTAACACTTTAAAAATCAAGCTTAATACTTTACAAAGCAAAATAAGTAATATTTATATCATATTTTAAGGAATTGCGTGTCATCTTCCTGATGATTTCAAAGGAATTATATATCCGTGTGTTGGATTTAGATCGCAAGGCGTGTCTGTGAAAGTAAATTTCGGTCATGAAACGTTCAAATATTCTGGTAAATTTGTCTAAGGGCCTAATCATTTTAGCTTATTTAGAGTTTAACCTTGTTTATATATTTATTTCAATTAACAGCGATGACCAACGAATACATTAATAAAAAATCAAATAATATATTAATATTGAAATATCAAGAGAATATTCATTTTATTATGGGCGGAAATGAAAATATGCTTGTTAATTCAACATGTGAATTAACAAGATCATTAGAAAAAAAGCAAGATAGCCGAGGTCAAATATTATTACTTATGGGCGAATATGATAAAGCACTTGAAGCTTTAACTAAACTGACAGAAATTGAACCAGATAACATAATAACACTAAGATATCGAAGAGAAATTTATTACATAATGAAGAAATATAATGAATCAATTACTGACTTGATGAAATTATTAAAAATTAAGCCTGGTGACGAATGGGCAACAGAAGCTCATAAATTAGTTAATAAATTGTAAGTGAAATGCGCATTTGTAAATGTTAGGTTTCAAAATTTATTACTAACCCACATACTTTTTGTTACCTTTATAGTCTGTAAGTTCTTTACATGCGACTTTTTTGGTTTTTTTTTTTTTTACTGTAAATAATGGTACACATCAATGCCCTATCGAACATTAATTTTAACTAATCCACATACTTTTTGTCACTTCTACAGCAAGTAAGTTCTTTACATACGACAATTTTTTTTTTACTGCAAATAATGGTACACATCAATGTCTTATCGAACGTTAATTCTAACTAATCCACATACTTTTTTGTCACTTCTACAGCGAGTAAGTTCTTTACATACAACTTTTTTTTTTACAGTAAATAATGGTACACATCAATGTCCTATCGAACGTTAATTCTAACTAATCCACATACTTTTTTGTCACTGCAGTGGGTAAGAATTTTTTTTGCATAACAGTAAATCACTATACAATCAATACACTAAGACTAATTCTAATAATAATTTATTTTCAATTAACCATGATAGACTGTATGTATTAGTTGTTTTAAATCATACGTTCACTTGTTACATTATTATACTTATTCAATGTTAAGATTTCAAAAGGAATTTGATAATTGGACAAGTGACAATTTTGAAATTGATGAATTTATTAAACAAACTCTACTTGGTGCAGAGAAATTTAAAGACATTATCGAATGGATACCTTTTAGTAAATTTACAAATATAAAGTATCTTGCTAAAGGAGGCTTTGGCACTGTTTTTAAGGCTGGACTGACGGATATATTTATGGATTTGATTCCCAAAAGAATGTGTGGAAACGAGGTGGACAAATAAATGTTTGTTTAAAAGGCCTTGATAATTCTAACAATATAAAACAAGAATTTTTAAACGAAGTATATATTATATAATTTATTATTATTTTGTTATTATTATTATTCATTTCTATTTATCCTAATTAATATTTAGATTAAAATCAACATCAACATGGAGGTAATTCAGCAATTAAAATTTATGGAATAACTAAGAACCCAAATGATGATAATTATATGATGGTGATGGAATTCGCAAAGCAGGGAAGTCTTCGAAAATTATTAGATAGCAAATATAACGATTTAGATTGGAATTTTAAGGCTGCTATCTTATATTGCATAGCTGATGGGCTTAATTCAATTCATAAAGCTAATTTAGTGCATAAAGATTTTCATTCCGGAAATATAGTTAACCAAGCTATGTATAGTTCTTTCATTACTGATTTCGGACTATGTAAGCCAGTGTCCCAAGATTCAAGCACTGAAGGGATTTTTGGTGTAATTCCTTACATTGCACCAGAAGTATTATATACGGGTGGAAAAGAGTACACTCAAAAATCAGATATTTATTCTTTCGGAATTATTATGTCAGAAGTTTTTACTGGATATCCTCCATATTACGATATTCCGCATGATGGAAATTTAGTAAAAAGCATTTGCTTGGGTCATAGACCTGAAATTAAATGTGGGGTTCCCCAACTACTTTTGGATTTAATGAATGAATGCTTAGATGCTGAACCTCAAAAACGACCAACTGCTAATGAATTAAGTAAGGCGCTATATCAATTTTTTTATGATTTGAGAAATGAAACAACCGAATTATATAAGCAAGTTAAAGAAATTAAAGACTCGGGCAACAATTCAAATCAAGTCACATCAATACGACTCAACTATCAGACACATAAACAAGGTATTTATACAAGTCGACCTTTTAATTATCAAAATCTTCCCAAACCAATAAATGCTAATCCAGTAGTCACAGGTTAGAATGTTACCCAATCAAAATATTGATGTATTATTTTTTTTCATACTTATTAACTCGTGTGCTTGTTCTAGTAAGCAAACATGTTGAACGTCCAGATTTTGATTAATATCATATTTCGTCATGGAGAGTAGCTAAGGTCTTTTACAATCTACACTGGATAAAAATAAAATTAAAAAGGGATTTACAACAAGTTCCTGGTTTTTTAGATTTATATCCCTGGATATACTATTCGGGTATTGTACCAAGGTCATATATGACGGCACCGATTTGTTTTATATGTCACGCTTATAAATTCGGGGTTTAACATACTGGGTCTTTTACAAAACTAGCAAACACCCGTGCCGTTGAGCACGGTAGATAGTTCAGTATAGTATAGGTTTTCAGTGCAGTATAATATATTCGCAAGTTCTATATAATCTGTGTAACATAACAAAAACATAACAAAAAGCACCACTCGCAGATTCATGTCTTTATCTATTTCTGTTTATCTACCCCGTTCAAGATATTATATATAGATATGAAGTAATAGATCTAGTAACATATTCGGTATTAATCAAAGAGTATTGTCAACAAGGGTGTATTTTCAATGATATGTTAAAGATTGTAAAAATTTCTTAAATCAAGTTTATTATCATAATCAAATATAACATCATAAAATAAAAGTAATCCTTTTCTCTTCATCAAATAAAATAAATTCTAAATATCTAAAATAAATTTCTGTTTTTTGTAACTCGAATTTTCTGTAGAATAATTCTACCATTTTTCACTACCGCATATACCGCATGAAAATTTCTATTAAAATACATTGCAATCTGAGGAAGTGGTGGGATGTATCTCATAAGCTAATTATTACTCAAGAATTTCATTATAGAATTAATATTTATATTTGGTAAACTTTCTAACTAAAATATAATTATTAGTCGAATAGTCGTATAATATAAAAGTTAAAATATATTTTTTTAAATAGTGATAGCAGTCAGCCATCAGTTATATCTTCACCAAGTTATATCTCAACCTAAGTTATATCCCCACCATTTAGCAGAATAAATACCCTAAATTTGTTAAATTCTGCCTCAGTTATATCTCTACTAAATTGTATATCAAAAACTCTCTGAACAAAAAGGATAATATAACTGAGGTTTGACTGTAATCGGCTGTAGTTGTTCTAGTCAACTAGAGATGCAAAATCGGCTGATCGGCTTGTATATTCAGTATAAATAAAAACCGATTAATCAATAGAGCCTATCAGCCGATTTTACATCTCTATAGTCAACCCATCAGAAA